AAATTTTTTTTGTTCAAATAGACAAGAGAGAGAGAGAGAGAGGGAAAGGATAGGATAAGGTAAGGTAGGTAAAAGGTATAGCAGGAAGAACCTGTTTGCCAGAAGAAATTTAATCAACTAACTGGTCGAAATGATTGAAGTACGATATATAGAGTTGCTCATCAAATTTTCTTTCTGTTTATTAATGCTAATTTTCCCCTTCTTTTTATTATTTTTAAAAGTGGTAATATTGGTAAGCAACATTCAATCATCATTACTTACCAATCTTACCTTTACCTTTACCTTTACTTTTACCTTTACCTACTTTACCCTATTCCTATTCCATCCTATCCCATCAATCCATCACATTACCCAACCCATTTTGTTAGCATTTGTAACAGTTCGCCTCTCTTCACATTCATATCTGTCGTCTTACAACAAACATTCGTCGTCGTCGTCGTCGTTTGAACGAAGGACTGTCAGTTATGTGATGTTTTGTTAATTTTTTTGACTACGAATCCCTACTTGAATTTCTCCCAACCTTATCCCATAATTTACCTGATTTACTCACTTCTTCAGTACTACATAGGAGAGAATTAAGTGAAGTAGCGAACAATTAAACATATCAAACTAAAGCTATATTTTAATAATGCATCTGTGACAGTTGCGCCATGTGCTTACATATCTCTACATTAATGGAGCATTTAGATAGACTTGTAAATGACTTATACTTAAAGAGTGTGATTAATTTGCTTAAGCAATAATAATAGTAGTGAATGACAATTGATGTTCGTGGAACTGTGACAGTCTGTTTAACTATCTATCTTTACTATCATTATTTTGATGGTGTATTGTAAACTTTGACCTCTCGCATTTCAGTTATTTTATTCCATCCATTTCATACAATATTCATTTCCATATCACTAATAACATTACATTTCAGTGTGTCATATATATATATATATGAAATTTTTTGTCATATAAAATTTACAAATATGATATTTATCATTCTGTATTGTTGTAGATAGAAAATTGTACTTCATCATTTGATTAAGATACGATATTAGAATTATCAAAAGAATGTAGTTGGAAAACTGACCTTGATCCATCATACCATTTACCGTATCCATATAACTGAGTTGGAGTTATGGTACACTAATACCATCTCTTGCTCATTTATTAAATTATTTTTAAACCGGCCAAACTAATTTCTTTTGTTCTCTCATTCCTTTCAGCAAATAGTTTTTTTTTCTTTCTTTTTCTTTATAAATACATTGAAATAACGAACATTTTCTCTTATTTACTGAGAAAATGTTAAGAACTTCTCATTAACCCATCCATCTCCAAACATTTATCTCTCTTCACTTTCCTTCTCTCTTTCTTCTTCCTCTCTTTTCTGTCGAATTAGAAAAAAGTTCATTTCTAATTTTAAAAGAAAAAAAATCCTTCAAATGCATTCTATCAACTTCAAGATGTAATAATAGTTCGAACAGAGAGAAAAGAACAATTTGACTTATTCTATGGTTTAATACACAAAAAGAATGTTTGTATAAAACTTTCATTTCATCTTCAGAAAATGATACACATTTAGATAAAGTTGAAAGTTCACATTTCATTTCCTCATTTCGATGTGTTCATTTTCTAACAATTTTTTTTTCCAGCTTTTTAAATTTTCTTCGATTCGTTAATAGTTGTAGTTAGTGATTAATGTGAATTAATATTTTATAATTAAAATTTCTATTTTTATAGATGACAAAAATTTTTGCCCTAACTTCGAATGGAAAAGAAGGTGATGAGAAGTCGAAAGAAGTAGAAGGAATTACAATATCGTCCACTACACCACAGGCTACCTTCTATCCGGTCACTTTACCCATCTCATCTATTGGTAATTCTCTATTTCATGTCCACTTTTTTTCTTTTTTTTTTTT